GCTGATGTGGGCATCCTGGGCCTCACCCTACCGCGTCCACAGGCGTGATCCGGACTGCGGTACCTGACCTCGACCGCGAGAGCCAGGAGCGCTATGAGGTGGTGATCCAGGCCACAGACATGGCAGGCCAGCTGGGCGGCCTCTCGGGCTCCACCACCGTCACCATCGTGGTCACCGACGTTAATGACAACCCGCCCCGTTTCCCGCAGAGTAAGTAAGGCCTTCCCAGAAGGAGGCAATATCTGTGCGTCTGTCTGTTAGCTCGTCCAAGCCACCCACTGACCCCAAGTTCCCTTTGGCTTCCCACCAAGAGAGGGACTCCCATCCAGCTGTCTGTCTACCCCGCCCCCCCCCAGGCCAGCCACTTGCCCAGACGCCTTCAGATCATGCTTTTTGCAGAGGAGGGCCCCAAAGTTGTCTGATTTTCCATCCATCCGGTAACATGGTGACCTCCTCGCCCCTCACCTTGGTTCCTGCCAGCGGGGAGGTCCCATCTGCCCACCCACCCAACCCCTCACGGCCCTTGCACACACCCTGTCACGATCATTGCTCGTGATCTGCCACTGGCCCAGGCTGGCACAGGAGTGGGGCAGACACAGGGATACGGAAAGAGGCTGCAGCCATACCCAGGCCAAGGGACTTGGTTGTGCCTGGAGACCCTGAAGTCTGAGTGGCAGGTCTTCCCTCCTCCTCTGAGCCTGGAGGGCAGGATTCTGTGCTTCTGAATTATGAGGCCTTCTCGCTCTCTGCCTCTCCTGGCCCAGTCTCCCACCCACCCATCAGCCCCTCTGTCCCAGGCTCAGGCGAAGAGCTATGCGGGGGAAGCCTGAGGCTGGCAGAGACTAAATGCCGCAGGGAGCTGGGCTGATTCCTATCTGGCGAGTCATTACTCAAGGTCTGCTGCTCTCACATTAGGCCCCGCCACAGGGGACTGACCCCCAGGAGATAAGGGAATCCAATCCCTTAGCCGAGAGTGTGGCAGCGTCATCTCGGCCTCGGGCCTCAGCCCAGACATGGAGCGGGGTGGGCACAGAACCCAGCCCCACCCTCTGTGGGGAAGCTTCGAAGCACCGGGTAGAGGCGGGGGAGTCACCCAGTCTTCTGACCAGTTGTGCCTGGCTCTGTGCCAGCGCTGAGCTGGAAGGGGTGGGGCAGAGAAAAGAAAAGGCGCCAGGGCCCCAGGAAAACTCCTGTTTATTCATTCCTTTATTCATTCTCTATCCATCTCTGGCATTTCTGTATTGGGAACTAGAGCACAGAAACAGAAGGACGTAGCGTATCAGTGTAAAGCGGACACTCCTGTAACACCAAGCAAGACCCCGAAGTTCCCGCATGCGCCCCCCCCATCATAATTCTCCCCACTCTTCCTCCAGAACCAACCAGAACCTGTCTGCTCATGGTCTCCACCTCCTGGCCTTTCCTTAGGTCAGTGCACCTACTGTGCACCCCCTAACATCAGTTTCATTTCACCTGCTTTTAACCTTATATAAATGGGATCACACAGTATAAAGTGTGTGTCATGCTATTTTGCCTCTCAAAATTACATTTATGGAATCACCTGTTGTTACTTATAGCTGTCCTTGGTTCATTTTCATTGCTGTAGCGTAGTCCGGAGTTTCGCTGTTCTGCTGTTGATGGACATTTGGGATGTTTGCCGTTTGAGGCTGTTATGGAGGATGCTGCTTGGAACATGGTTGCACAGCTCATAATGCTGTTTAGCACACGTCTCAGTGAATATACAGAGGAGCAGAATAGCTGGCTCATGAGATATGCTCATCTTCAACTCTACTAAATAAAGCCAAACTCTGTTCCCCACGAAGAAATGCGCACATGGCCCTCGCTGCTTTGGCTCAGTGGATAGAGCGTTGGCCTACAGACTAAAGGGTCCCGGGTTCGATTCCAGTCAAGGGCACATGTCTGGGTTTCAGGTTCAATCCCCAGTGGAGGGTGTACAGGAGTCAGCCAATCAACGATTCTCTCTCATCACTGATGTTCCTAACTCTCTCTCCCTCTCCCTTCCTCTCTGAAATCACTAAAAATATATTTTTTAAAAAAAGAAAAGAAACGCATGTGTCCATTGTACCACATCCTCGCTAGCCCTTTGTACTATCAGATTATTTCATTTGTGTTAATCTGGGGAGGATATACCAGTAACTCACGCTGCTTTTCATTCATTCACTCACTAGTCACTCACACATTTCTTTTATGCGACAGTCTGGTGTTCTGCCAGGTACTGAGAATGCCTGATGAATAAGAGATGTGGTCCCTGCCTTCTGAGAGAGAGAAAATATGAGAATAAACAGAGAGTAATAAGTAATAGGGAAATGCAGTAATCCTCACACTGGGATAAGCTTGGAGGCCCTGGGCACACAGGAGCAGAACCTGGAGGTCTGGGAATGTTCCCTGGAGGAGGTAACATTCTGTGAGACTAAAGGGAGAGTGGGAATTGAGGCAAAGGCAGGGAGGAGAATACAGAGCAGAATGCCTGGAAGTGAGGCAGAGCAAGTCATATTTAAGGAATTACAAGGACTGCCGCCTGGCTGAAGCTAGATTTGGGGTGGGGCAGCAGGGGGATGAGGCTGCAGGTGTCAGCAGGAGCCAGCCAAGGGACTTATACAACCACATCCCAAGGCAGTAGGGAGCTATGTGAGGGATTAAAGCAGGGAAGTGGCATGATCAGCTGTGTCTTAGAGAGAGAGCCCCCCCCTTCCCCAGCTACTGCGTGAGACTGAGAGGCACCCAGTTTACACAGGGGTATCCAGACCTGTGTGGGGACCTCAAGAGATAGCACTCACCTCCACAGCCCCTGCTTCATGTGCACTGGCCCATCATTTAGCAGATCACCTTCACCTCAACCTCAGCTCTGGGGAGAGGTCAGGGTGCTGTCTGTGCTCCCTCTGACCGCATTCCTTCTGGTTTCCCATCTGCTTCGCCCCTGTGGCCACAATGGTCGTCTTGCCATCCTTCAAGCATCCCAGGCATTGCACCCACCTCAGGGCCTTTGCACCTGCTGCTTCCTCTGTCTGGAATGCTCTTTCCCAGATATCTCCTTGGCTCGGTCTTCTGCAAAAATGTCACCTTCTCAGTGAAGCCTTTCTTGATCACCCTGTTTAAATGTCCACACACCCTCATCAGCCCTCCACCCCCTCCCACTGCTTCATTCTTCTCCTCCGTACCCATCACCATCTGACACACGCCTGTCTTACTGATGTGTTTAGTGTCTTTCTCTTTCCATTAAGAAGAAGGCACTATGAGAACTGGGATGTTGGTCTATGTTATTTGTTGCTGTAACCCCAGTGCCTAAAACTGCATCTGGGACATCATAGCTGCTCAATAAATAAGCAGAAATCAAGGTCAACAGAAAAGTCAGCATAAAGCCTCACTGTTTTAATATAATTGTTCCGTTTATTGAGTAGCTACCATGTGCTAGGCAGTGCAGTGCGCATTTTGCAGGCATTGCCATCTAAGTTAATCGTGATAACAATGCTGTTAGGAAGACACTGTTATTCCCATTCTATAGAATAGGGATTCAAGGTTCAGGATTACAAAGCCAGGACTGACTCCAGAACTTTAGTCGTGACCATGGTTCTCTTCTCTCACTTGTGCTGGGCAGATGGGGAAGCTGAGGCCCAAAGAACTGCAGGCACACTTCCAAATTAATCAGCTAATAAACCCAGTGGATAGAGCAATTTAGGGCCCTCCTCTTCGCACTGTCTCTTGCATTTCTGCAGAGGACATGCCTCTCCCAGCACCTTCCTGATTAACCTGGGAGCCCCTTGCAGACATTGCCCTCCCTGGAGCCCATCGGGGCACCCCTGCTCTCCCCTAGAGCTGGTGGAAGCTGCCCCCATCCCTGCTCACAGCCGTATCCCCTACAGAGATGTACCAGTTCAGCATTAAGGAGTCGGCCCCCATCGGCACAGCTGTGGGACGCGTGAAGGCCGAGGACTCAGACGTGGGTGAGAACACGGACATGACTTACCATCTCAAAGAGGAGAGTGGCACCGGTGGCCATGTGTTCAAGGTCACCACGGACAGCGACACTCAGGAGGCCATCATCGTAGTGCAGAAGGTACAGCTGCCCCAGGAGGGATGGGGGAGGCAGGCTCTAGGGCAGGGGTGGGGAGTATCCAGCCCGCGGGCTGTATAAGGCCCGAGAAATCATTTGGTCTGGCCCTGACAGGGCATTAGGGTGAGTTAATTAAATGTTTGACTAAATAGAGCAAGCTAGTTTTTTTGAGTTGAAAATTTTGTATGGCCAGAGAATGATCTTATAAATATCCAAATGGCCCTTGGCAGATAAAAAGGTTTCCCCATCCCTGCTCTAGGGTTTGGAGTCAGGGAGGCCGCTGACAGCCAAATACTCCCTCCCAACTCCACTCCCGGGATCAGGTCTTTACAGAGACCCAGGGCCACCTGGGAAAATGCTGATGGTTTCCTCCCCATTTTACAAATGAGAAAATGAAGCACAGCAAGGTTAAGTGATTTGTCCAAGGTTGCACAGCTAGTTGTCAGGGCCAGGGTTCAATCCAGATTTGAATCAGTGCTTTCAATCACTACTAAGTGCTACTTCAAGTCCATACCAGGACCTTTACCTGCATCATTTCCTTTAATCCTGGCCTTTCTCTCTGAAGGAGACATCATTAATGTGCAATTTCACAAGTGAGAAAACAGGCTTAGAGGGGTAAAGGGGCTTGTCCGAGGCCCCACCTGTAAGGGGTAGAGCTGGGATTGGAACCCAGGTCTTGTGACTCCAAGCTCTCTCTTTCCTGAGTCTAACAGTCTTCCTCACCCATTGGCTTGTCCAGAAACCAGAAGTCAAAAGTACAAACTCAGTGAGTCCTAGAGGAAGAAGATGAAGGTCAAATAGAGAAGCAAAATCCATTTTCCAGGACATGGTCATGGGCGTGGCAACTCAGGCTGTGCAGGCCTTTGAGACTGTCCACTCCAACCCTGCTCTCCCGCAGGAGGTCAAATCCCCTGCACTGGCTCTTGGATGGGGGTGGACCTTTGTACACGTTCAGGCACAGGATGCTCACGCCCTGTCATTGTCCAGCTCTTCCTCCTCCCATTAGCCAGAACCTGTCTCCCTAAATCCATTCCTATCAGCCTGGGCTTTGCCTTCTGGGACCCACAGAAACATCTGCCCCTGACAACCCTTCATTCACTCAATAAGTGCATTCAGACCCACTCTCTAGCTGACCTTGAGCATAGAGAAAACTGCTAATTTCTTCAACTACTTCCCAGAGGATTATAATATGATAGCGGGTATCCTATATAATAAAAGGATAACATGCAAATTGACCCTAATGGCAGAACAACCAGTTGCTATGATGCACACTGACCACCAGGGGGCAGACACTCAATGCAGGAGCTGCCCCCTGGTGGTCAGTGCACTCCCACAGAGGGAGCTCCGCTCAGCCACAAGCCGGGCTGAGGGCTTCGAGTGCAGCTGCGGTGGCGGGAGCCTCTCCCGCCTCCTCAGCACAGGCACAGAGGGCCGGGATGAGTATGAGCAGCACCTGGCCCTGATTCGGGCTCCTCCCTGGCTGCCTGTTGCTTGGCACAAGGTGGACATCCCCAAGGGGTCCCGGACTGCAAAAGGGCACAGGCTAGGCTGAGGGACCCACCCGCCCCGAGTGCATGAATTTTCATGCACCGGGCCTCTAGTTTATAATAAAGTGTTTACAATGTGCTAGGCACCCTTCACCTGCTTTCCATGTATTAATTCATTCCATCCCTACATCGTCTCTTTGAGGTACTATCATTGTCCGTTTCATAGGCCCCAAGGAGTTCCATCCTGTGCATCCAAGGTCATGCATCTTGCAGAGCAGAGTAGGGATGTGGGCCCAGGCAGTCTGGCTCCAGAATCCACCCTTTTGAACATTGTGCAGTTTTCAGTCTTCTGATCTCACGGTACAGTGAGTGTCCGCACTGTAAGATGAGCCCATCCACAGGTGGGGAATTGGAGGCCCAGAGAGGCACAGTATCACAGAGCAGTAGAATCAGGCTCCATCCCCAGCCATGGGGCTTCAGCATAGCACTTGCTTGCTCTCACCCCCAGTGCTGCCCCCACCCCCCAACTCAGGGCCCCTCCCTCCAGCTCCAGCACTGGCGCCTGAGGTGTCTCTGTGGAGTCAGTGTTGGCTCAGGGAGCAGAGCCCTGCCTGATTGATGACCTGGCTCCAGAACCCATCGCTCACTCTCAGGCCAGGCCACTGCCTGCCTCCCTGCATCCTGATTTCCCAGGCAACAGGAAGGAGGGAGGGAGGAGGTGGCAATTTTTCCTTCTGGAAAAGGTGGGGGTTGGGAGGTTCTGAGAGGAAAGGCGGGTCCCTACACACCAGGCTAATCTCTGGGAAGGTCACCCTTGTACTCAGAGAGCTCCCCCACCACACAACGAGGTGCCTGCTGCCCCACCATGGCAATTTCTCTTTGCTGTCAGGCGGCGATTTTCAGCCTTTTTCATCTCATGGCACACATAAGCTAATTACTAAAATTCTGCGGCATACCACACAACATATTATAATTTTTGCTGATCTGACGAAAAGATAGGTATGATCTTGATTCGTTCACACCGGATGGCTATTGTTGTGTTGGCTCTTGTCATTTTTTTCTTTGACAGTCTAAGGGGAGAGAGGTCAGTGCCCCTGACTAAATAGTCAGGTATTGCCGGTGTTAAAAATTCTTGCGGCACAGCGGCTGAAAACCGCTACTGTGAGGCATTGTCTTTAGAAGGCCAGAGCCAACACAGCCCCCGAGCTCATTCATCAGAGGGTCACCCCTCAGCACTCCCGATGAGAAGCAGGGCTCAGTGTGGGCTTAGCCAGCTCTCTGGGAAAGCTCTAAGGCAGCCTGGCTTAGCCGGCTCAACTCGCATTAGCTGCTGCCGCCTATGTACCAGGGAATATGGCCTCTAATCCTCCCACCGGGGTCCAGAGTGGCCAAATAGATGCCCACAAACACACAGCTGGGCAGCAGCAGAGCCACCACCCCTTCCTCTCGTGGGGTAAGGACTTGGGAGCCTTACTGCCTGGGTTTGAATCCAGCCTCCGCCAGTGACTGCCTAAGTGATCTTGGGCAAGTTACAGACTTCTAGACCTCAATTTCTTCATGTGTGAAATCAGGTAACAATACAAGCCTCGAGGGGTGTTGTAAAATTAGATAAGTTAATATGTTTAAAACACTGGCACACAGTAGGCACTTTGTAAATTAAGAAATGAAATGTCCCAACATACCGTGCTGAGGAGTGAAAGTCAGGGTGTTAGTACGGTTTAGCCCGGAGTGTCTGTGTCCCTGGGCAAGAGAGTCCTGCAGGGACCTGTAACCAGAGAGCGGTGGGTCCGCACATGGCCTGGAGCCAGCCCTCCCTCTGGGTCCACCTCAGGACTGGGGGTGGGGGAGGTTAGTCAGGGCCCCAGGGAACCCAGCCCGCTCACAGGCCCACTGCTTCCTCCTCCAGCGCCTGGACTTCGAGTCCCAACCGGTGCACACGGTGGTCCTGGAGGCCCTCAACAAGTTCGTGGACCCCCGCTTCGCTGACCTGGGCACATTCCGCGACCAGGCGATCGTGCGCGTGACAGTGACCGACGTGGACGAGCCCCCCGAGTTCCGGCCGCCCTCCGGCCTCCTGGAGGTGCAGGAGGACGCGCAGGTGGGCTCCCTGGTCGGCGTGGTGACTGCGCGGGACCCCGACGCCGCCAACCGGCCCGTCCGGTGAGACCCCCGCCCGGGGCCACGCCTGCTGCCTGCTCTCCAGCCACCGCCCCTGCACTCCTGCGGGCCCAAGCGGGAGGGGGGCCGGGTCAGGAGGGAAGGAGGATACGCTGGATGGGGGGAGGGGAGAGAGAGAGAGGGCACAGCTGGAGTTCTGAGACAAAGGAAGCCCGTGTGAGGTCAGTCACAGATAGGCCAGGGACTCAGGGCCAAGTAGAGGTGCCCCTGACTTCCAGCTCCACCCTCTTGCCCCACCTCTCCCTCTCCACTGCTCCCTGGATCCCCCCTAGACACCTCAGACTCCCGTTTGGAACTGAGCTCTCAGCTGCTCCCGGAAAAACAAACAACAAAAAACCCCACTCCTTTCTTCCAGTTCCATCAAAAATGTTTGCGACATTCTCAACTCCCGTCTTTCTCATCGCCCTCCAAGCCATCAGCCGACTCTGTCATCTCCACTTTAAACACATCCAGAATCTGACTACTTTTCACCCCCTCCCGCTGCCCGTGAGCCTGGCACCTCTTCCTCTCGCCAGGATTGTCACAGTTGCCCACGGGTCTCCCTGCTCCTGCCCTCGCCCCTGTGGAATCTAGAATCGGCACAGGGCCAGGGTGAAACAGCTCAAATGTAAATCAGAACACGGCCCCCTCTGCCCCACGCCCTCACCTCTCTGGCTCAGAAAAGAACAAGCCCTGACAGTGACCTCCAGACCCTGTGAGATGTGGCCTCGCGGTAAACCTCTGACACCCCCCCACACAGCCCTCCTTCCCCTCCGTCCCCGCTCGCTCTGCTCAGCCAAGGTGGCTCCTCAGGGCTCATACACCAAGATCGCCTCTGCCTCAGGGCCTTTGCCACTGCTGATCCCCCGCCCGGATGTTTTCACCTGAACACGGCCAGCACTTGTCCTCTCACTTCCTCCAGGTCTCTGCTCAAGAGCGAGGCCTCCTCAGTGAGGCTCCCCTGACACCCTTTTACAGTTTCAGCCCCACCTCCGTCCCCAGCCCCAACCCTTCAGATCGCCTTTCCTCTTTCCCATGGCCCTCGCTCGCCTTCTTCACCATCTAACACACCGCCTGTCCTCTAATTATTTTGTTTGTCTCTCCCATGAAAAGATAAGCTCCATGAGGGTGAGGACTTATGCCTGTGTGTTCACCACTGTATCCTCAGGGTTTGGCCCGATGCCCAGCACTCAGTGGACACATAGAATGTGTGGTGAGTGGGTGAAATGTGAAAACAGACAGACTGAGGAAAGAGAGAGGGAGAGACACTTGTGGAGATGTGGGAAGGCGAACAATGAGAGGAAGAGAGGTGAGAGAGAGGAGAGCCAGTAGAACGAGGACAAGAGTAGCTAAGAGAGACATGGACCTCCCTGGCAAGATAGAAACAGACACAGGTAGAGAGAGGGCCAGAGCCGGGATGGAGATAGGAGGGTAGAGGGGAGGGGAGATGGGGTTGGGGAACCCCTGACTGTGGCTTTGGTTGGAAGAAGGTCGGATAGAATAGAAAGGGGAAAGGGTTGTAGAAGAACCTGACCCAGTAGGGGAGGTCAAGGGTGGAGGGAATGGCTACCATTGCACAGATGAGGAGTTTCTGGAGCCCCCTGCATCCCCGCTACAGCCCCTGTACATAGTCAGTGGATGACCTCTGAGCCCACCGTATGCCCCGCTCTGTGCTCAGCACTGGAGAGAGTGGGGAGGGAAGTTAGTCTGACACGAATCCAGATGGGTAACAAGCCCTCGTCATCTGTGTGACAGCTGTCTTGGAGAGGGACAGTGCACACGCAACCTGTGCAACCTTATGTGGCAGCCCCAGGGGAGGACACAGACACCATCCTACTAACTTCCCAGGGGCTTCCAGACCGGGCGATACCCTCCAGGCTCAGGAGCCAAGTCCTAGAGGCGACAGGAATTGAGCTGGGCTGAGTACCTGATCTGATCAGATGTAAACATGAGGGACGAGCATTCCAGGCAGAGGAACGGCATGTGCAGATGTATGGAGGCAGAGGAGTGGTTGTGTGCCTGGGGAAGCA